TGCATTTATACGAGTACGATGCTTTTGCATTTCATATCTCCTCTATTCGGTAGGCGTGACTGTCCGCAATTTGGAATTGCCCGTGCTTCCCCCCGTAGTTCAAATCGATGAAATTGATCACGTACGGCGGCTCGATCATCTTGTACTCGATCCCACTCGCCGGGGGGAAAACCTGCGGGGAGCCGAAGTCATCTCCCTTTTTGGTCGGGAGAGCGGAATCCGGTAAATCTTGGTCCTGTAACTGAGACATGAAAACCCGATAGACGTTGTCGCGGAAGTCGTAGGGAACGGAAGATGTAGGTGCTGCTCCTGCAGCTCCATTTGCCGGCTCTTGCACGGCTGTGCTAGAAGTACTTCGTGGCGTCCCAACTAGTCCAAAATCGTACTGAAAAGTGTTGTTCCGACACGCGTCTTTAAGCTGGTACCCCTTCCCGGTTCCCGGCTGATCTTGTAAATCTTTCACCGGTTCCGCAACTTCCTTCATTACGGTGATCGTTTGCCCCGGGTTGTTCGGATCCTGTGCCTGCGTCTCCACAAACTTCGTCTTCGCCCGGGACAACACCGACCTCTCCAAGTCCGTTCGGGAAATTTTCGCCGCGCGCAGGGAATAATCGTATTTGTTCGTGTCGAGAGTGATAGCCGCAGCAGGTGCAGCAGCACCAGCACCGCCGGCAGCAGGCACTATGCCCAGAAAAAAAAAACTATCCCCATCCATTTATTGCATGAGAAACACAGACCTTCTATGCATGTTTTGCACCACAAATTCGATGGGGAGGAAGAGTTTTTTTTTGTTCATAGGCACCGGTGGAATCGTCCGCCGATACACCGGGTTTTTCACCAGCGCCCTATCCTAAGCAAAAACGTCCCCGCACCAGAGTGAAGAAGAAGATGGGAAATCTGCTAGACAAATCAACCAACTTTCGCTGTTTCGCATGACAGGTTTGCCCTCGTAGTGTGATCCTGTTTCGCTAGTTCAGCAGCATCACAGATCTAGAACATAATGCTGATTCTAGCGTCACAAACTCAAAAACAAAAACACGACTAGCAAATGCCCCTCATGGCGCTCGACATGACAAACATTTTTGGCATGCCGATTTGCATGACAACTCTGGTCGTGTGGGGACGTTTTTACTCAGGATACACCCGGAGGGAAACTTTATGCTTTTCCGCCCGAGAGAAGATAGACAGGAGCAATCCCCTTCCACCCTTCCGGTACTTTGCGTTGGGGTTGGTTTTCCGCGACGTTCCGGCGGGGGAAGTGGTCAACGGGTCGACAATTCCTTTGTCAAAGGCAAATATGTGTCTGGGTCTGGAAGTAGAGCAAGAGTGCAAAACTGGTTACGCATCTCGCGGACCACGCGCGAGGTCTGGGATGCGCACAAGGGCGTCACAGGTTTTGCGAGTACACGTTCCTGACTCCTATTCAACGTGAGAAATGCGCCTTTATTTCGTGGCTTCTAGCAAGTCGCGGACAACAAGTTTTGGGGTTCATAGTGCAAAATTTTTTCTCAGTCGGGAAGTCGCATGACGGATTGCATTCTTCCAGAGGACCCAGACATATTTGCAATGGATACCCTCTATCCGCAGTCGAACTTACGCCACCGAGACGCAGGATCGGGAAGATGCACTATGGGGGTGTCAGGATCGAAATCGACAAAGTTGAAAAATTTGTAATGCATAAATTGCAGGGCATGTATGGCCTGTGTTGGGGAGGAGGCAGATGAGACCGATCGCAAGCCTGTTTAGGGGAAGGCGATGCGCTGCCAGAGTAGCATGACAGGAGCAGCGTTCTTTGCCCAAACAGCATGACGCACTGGATTTCGGTGCTCTTGAAATTTGTCATGCGCCACTTGGAAACTGAGGCCCCAACTGGTATCGATTTTATGCATTGCAAGTTATTTCGATTTTGTTGATTTCGATCCTGACACTTCCATATGCACGCTTCGTGACTTATATCATCCCTTGGATACAAGTCGATCTCGTTGGGGACTTGCGTTTTTTTCGTTGTACCAGCACCCCCCGCCGGATATGCACTGCAAAAGTATCGTACTAGTATGAACTGCATGACAAATTTTCTCAAGAACAAAAACGCAATTTGTAGTGCTGTTTCGCCTTAGACAGTAGATCTGTCATGCATGGCTGCAATTAGTACGAATACGATACTTTTGCAATTCATACAGGATCTGGCTCCACGACTTCTGTAGACAATGGCGGGTCCGGCGGAACGCCGGCGAGGATCATGTTCTGCACCACCGACGGCGACGCGCGGACCTGCAGAAAAGCGTTGGGGTACCCGTCGTCGTCTTCGGTTGCAGAGGTCGCTAGCGGAGGGGCGGGAGGTGCACTACCGTCATTCGGCACACATTCGCACAACCACGTACCCGAACTGGGATCCGCCGGATAGTTGTCGCCCTCTTGGAAGTGGCATTTTCGTTCGGCGCCACCTGCTCCGCTATCGGATGATGTTGAGGAACCACTAACAGGACTACTGGACCGACACATCTCGTTGTTGTGAAACACGAAATCCACGGACCCGGCGGAAGAAGTTTCGTGGAATTTTATCACAAAATCCTTCGGAAAGTTTTTGTTCAGCAATAATTGGCTCGGGTTGCGGAAAAAGTTCGCGGAAACGCGGCCTCGGATCATCTTTATCTCCAGCTGATTCTTGTCCATATCGGGCAACACCGTCGAGTCCAGCATGGAGACGAACACCCACTGCAGATCGAATTTCACGAATTCCTTGGCTTTGATGAAAAATGCCGTGGTGGAGTGGATCTGCGCGAGGCTTTCCTGCGACTTCAGGTAGAGGTAAAGCGACCGAATGTGGTAGTCAAAGCGGGTTTGTTCCAGAAAGGCTTCCAGGTCTTCTTCGTCGTAAATTCCGTAGAATGGCGTAGAAAGTGTTCCCTCTGTTTTTTCCTGCGCCGCTTTTTTCCAAATCCTTGTCAGCGCTTGGAGATCCAGCGTCACGATATTCAACGTGCAGCTGTATTTCGGACTCACGATATTCCGTGAAAATTAACCATCCCATCCATCCAATTTGTGCATGACAAACAGAAAGCTTTATGTATGTTTTGCATCACAAACTGGATCATGGGAATGTTTAAATTATTTCAGGGGATACACGATGCGCTTTTCGTATTCGACGGTCAGTGTGGAGGTTTGCTTGCCCATGAAAAACTCCTCAGCTTTATCCAACAAAAAAGTGTTAACATCAAACGGTTGGCATAGATTGCAAATATGGCATGACAAATTTTACCAAGCATGCATGCTACGCATGACAAATTTGGGCACGTTTTGTGATGCCTTCCTGCGTCACAAATTCCGTTAACGTTAAACACTTTTTCCTGTGATACGGTTCCTCGACAAAGCTGTCGGAGGTGCGCAGGATCAGGAGCGTATTCGAGGCGTACCTGATTTTTTTAAAATCTAACCGAACCAGTCGTGGGCAAAGTAATTAACCATCTGCAGCTTGTTTTGTTCTTGCACTAGTAGGTACTACACGATGCAGAAATTAAAATTGTACGAGGAGTCGTGTTTCTGTGTCATCTTCTCGCTGCAACCACAGCATCACTTTTTTTGTGCTAGTAGCTCGCGTTCTGGAAACAAGTTCTGCAGTTTATTTCGTACCCTTTATTTTTCCAATCCTCGCTAACATCGTCTCCGCCCCCATATCAATATAGCTCGCTCAAGTGTAGTTACAATTCATATCAAAACTGTTCTTTATATATACGTACCCTTGAAAGAAAGCACTCGTAACGAGTGCTTTCTTTTAAGGGTTTCACTTCGAAATATCCATGGTCTGGCCGACGGGGCCACGGCACATATTACATGCGCGCAGATTCTCAATAGTAAACCGGACCTGACTGACTGAAACATACGTCTACTTTTTTACGTAAAAAAACAAAACGAGCGCCGTACACGTTTCTCATGCGTGGAACAAGGATGGCGAAGATGGTCATACAAATACACAACAGCATCAGCACTTTCTTCCATTTCTGACAGTTGCGATTGTAACACAACGACCACCTGGTCTTCATTCCATACCCGGAAACCGTTAAACTCGAGAAACTCGTCCCATGCCCTGTTCGACCACGCCGACTTAATTTTGTCTGGAGTGAACAACTGAAAATCCAGTGTGGAGGTGAATACCACGTCGCAGTTTGCGATCGAGATTTGCAGGTCGTGCTCTACCGGAATGTAGTACCGGGACTCCTTCTGCACATACCGGCCCTGGAAGATGCAACTGTACAAAAGCGCCCCCGTGCCTGCCGCAATTAGAAGAAAAGTGCAACAGGTCAGCGGCCATCGGGACCGGAAAGGCACCGGGAGAGGGATGCCCTCAACGATCATTCTCTTTTTAAAAGTCTACTTCTGAGCTTCTAGGTCCTCTAAGAAAACCAATACAACTACAAACAACTACGACAGGATAGACACGTGCACTTTTTAGGTTCTACCGTACAACTATTAAGCGCGTAATGCGTTCTTGCATGAGGGAGCGCACACTGCGAAGGCAGACTGACTTCGCATCGACCGGTCTTGAAAAACTAATGTAAAAATAGAATACCAATCATCAACTTTTTACCTTTATTACGAATGGTTTCGAGTTCGAGCGACGAGGAAAAGAACCACGAATAATACGATCGGAGACGATGCGATTGATGTCAACGAGTGAAGGAATCTAATTCTAAGTACGACTCTGCGAAGATCCCTGTCGATTCACAACATTTCAAACGAGAATGAATTTCGATTTCCATGAACAAGACGGCACTTCTGCCACAGGCGACACGACGAATATGTTCAACATTTCGAAGCGAGAAGACGTCGTCGGAGGTCTATTTCGATTCATCTCTTGAAGTAGATCAACAACGAGGAGGTAGTGGCGACCGCGACCAGGTCAGATGGTGGCATGACAAAAACAAGGCGAACAAGAATAAGAAAGCTACGGCCGAAGTGATTCTTTACTCTGCTTTGCCAACATTTTTGCGGCATCAGTGTTGTTTGAGAGTAGGTGTGTCAGTTGTCACTGTCACGTATCATTCTCATTGTCACTAGTTTCTAACAATTTTGAATGTCAAAGGCATAAGTTCTTAAGTGCCCCCCGCTCTTGCAGTTCAGTTGAGCTCAAAGTCGAATTTATCTTCTTTGAGCTACTGCAAGGAAGCACTGCCTCAAGGACGCCCTTCTCCTTCAGTTGCTGCAAGGTGTAGAAAATTTTTCGCTTTCTGATCATGAAAAGAGAAGATAGAGATACTCGCTACGTCGATTCATGCATAAGATATGCCGGTGATCTGCAGTCGTGGTCTTCTTCCTCTCTATAATTTGCTTCTTCAAGCGTGATAAGGAAAATCTGAGTGTGCTGGCACTGCTAGCTCTTTCGCTTCGGGGAGCTACAGCATCAAATCAAAAAATCAAATCTAAATCATACATTCATTTTTTCTAGTCAGTTGAAGGGGACGTATTAATTTCGTAGAGCCATACAATGTTATTTTTAACCGCCTTCGCCCGTGTGATGAAGGTGCTGTCGTTCTTTTCAGGTATGATAAACAAACAACGTAGTTCCACTCTGGTGTCCCTACTTGGTCGGGCCTCCAGACAGCGACGCTTCATCTTGAAGTGTTGTGCAACAAGTCGTAAACTTTTTTCTCAACGCGCAACCACAAAGTCAATGTTAAACAAGATACTTCATGCTAAAATATTGATTTTTGAAGTTCCCCAGAATGATACAGCTTTCTGTTCTGATGTATCCAGTTGATAAAGAAGCGCAACGTGGTCTAATGCTAGCCTTAATTCTTATTTGGAAACAAGCTAGAAATTTGACGACAGAATCCGATCTTTAACTTTAGAGTCGACGCGGTATAATTATTCGTTCGTATACTTCGTTTCTACATTTAGATCTACTGGATGGGACTGCGTAGTTTGCGCATAAAATACTTCGAGCGTGTACTAGTGCTGTATCTATCAGCATGGACGTGGTGCACGAGTAACTAAGAGTATACTTTATTTAGTTAATCCACTTCCACGACGTATACACACTTGCCTTTTTCCGCACCCTCCAGCATCGCCTTCGCCCAAAAACCGATTGTTCCATTCCAGCTCAAAAACGGATTGATTTCCCATTCCTGCCTCGAGTACGTCGCCTTCCACCAGAGTGGCAGCTGCATGTCCCGCGGAAAGTTTGCGCGCACGAGACCAAGGAAGTTTTCCACTTGAAACGACCTAGCCCCAGCTAGCATCCAGCGGAAGTGCAAGTGCGTCGCTTTGTTCATCTCCATGGCAGGAAACTTTCTTTCTACTAGAAACTTTCTGTTGATCTCCAAACTTTCTTTCTACTACTTCAACAAACTTCTACTAAACACTAAGTTAATATTTCCACAATCACACACCTTATCCTTAACCTTGTCATCTGTAAGTTCTAAATATCCACCTCATATCGGTCCCGCACGGCCTCGATCCAGTCGTGTACGAGCATCTCGCGGACCATGTAAATGCCCTGCGTTTGCAGCAACCCCACCAGCCGCTTGTGCATTTTCACGAACATGCCGGGGGGAAAGTAGCCCTTCCACTCCTGAATCGATCCCTCGTCCACGAAGCAGGTGACCTGCGGGCCGTTCGACTTCTTCAAGTTCTTTTCCGCAAGCGCACTCCTGTCCACAGCGATACTCGTCATCTTGCGCTCTTCATCTTCTTGCTGCTCGTCGGGAGAAGACTTTGTTGATTTGCTCTCGTTCAGAAGCTGCATTTTCTCCTCTGCGACCAAATCCTCCATTCTTTTCATCTCGTAATCCCCATCGTAGTAATACTCCGAGCAAAAATCCACGACACTGAAACTGCCCGCAACGTCGATAAAGCCACCGTAACAGGTATCACAAGAAAAAGCCTTAACGTTTACGGTTTTATTCACAGATTGCAGCCATGCCTCACACATCTCGCCTAGTATGCATGCTATGCATGACAAATTTGGGTACTTTTTGTGATGCATTGCCGCATCACAAATTCCGTATTAGCGTTAAGTACCCGTAAACATTTTTTCCTGTGATAACAGGGACACGAGATCTTGTACCCTATCGACATCATCCACTCAAACGCAAGGCGGGACTTCTGTCGTGAAGAAGTTGATGACGATGTAGAAGCACCACAACTTGTGCTTTGATCTTGCTTCTGTGAGGACTGTTGTAGTTCCGGCGGCGTATGCAGCGTCACCTCCCCTCGTACGTCCGCCTCCAGAAAGTCTAGCCAGCATGCCGTTTCGAGTTCTTGTTGTTGGCTGGTGCAATAATTTCTACTATCATTTTTATCCTGTGTGGAGGGCGGTGCTGCTCCACCACCGCTCAGTTGCATTTGCTCCCTCTCCTCTTTCGTGAGTTTCATCCACAAGCAGGCACGCGTCGGCCAATTTTCGTCGATTATAGTACCGGGTGGACGGTTGTCCAATCAGTTATAATAAATTAAAATTAGGCCTACACTCACTACATCATGTTTCCCAATGACATACCTGGCCGATCTTCATCTTGACTACATATTTTATGTCTATGGTCATGAGGTTTTTGTCCGATGAATAAGAATGCCGCATGGTTGTAGTGGGGTTGAACTAAATAAATGCCAGTTAGATCATCGCTTTCGATCACAATGATGTTGATGCCACTGCACTGCGAGGCGCCACTCGACGGAGCGCAGTTGCAGTTCTGCACCAATTGCTCAATTATCATTATCATTATACACTTACACGAGCAAGTCAGCACCAGTGTCAGCTGTGCTCACGTTTTTCAGACTACTTGTAAAAAAGTTGTAAATACCACGATTCTAAAATATATGATTTTATTGCACGATAATTTTGCGTCAAGAGAACAACGCTGATTAATTCAAAGGCATCCTCACAACCCTGGCGGTGGTCCCGACACAAACGTAGCATGCGGGTCCACCATGATATTACCTGCTGCCGCTCTATGATTTCGGATCATGGCCAGATAATACCTATACCAATCTCCGCCAATCCCTTCCAATTGGTACTCTCGCCCGGTATCGCGATAGGTGAACTCGAGGGCCCTTTCCCATTTTCGCCCTACTTCTACCGGCTGCTCTCCGTGGTCTACTTCTGCGCTTCCCGCAGCTCCAGGCTTGGACACCAGCTCTTCACCACCAAGCGTGAGGCGCAACACATCCCTGCTGCCCTGATGATCCCCCATCAACTGTATCTGTAACGCAGCGCGCGTCCAGCGCCACGTCCGTCCGTGGGTCCGGAAATAAGGTTCATCCAGAGCTACATAGTTCGGAAGTGCATGTGCAAGTGCGTCGCTTTGTTCATCTCCATGGCAGGAAACCTCCAGCGGCTCAGGTTTTGGTTGAAAGAAATCGCGTTCCGGAACATTTGGGACACGTCTTTTGCCGACCGCATGTCCCAATCCCCGATGTTCTGGTTGAAATCTAACAAATTGAGAAACATGGAGCCGAAGTCCTCGACCCCGCTCACGTTCCAGTTCTCCACAGAAAACTCTGGGAGGAAAGTGTCGTGCCAGGGATTCGAGGAATGCAGTAGTATTTCGGGTCCGAGTATCCACAGAAAAAAAACCCATCCACATCCATTTTTTGCATGACAAACACACGATATTGATTTGATACGTGTTTTGCATGACAAATTGGATGTGGATGGGTTTTTTTCTGTAGATACCGAGCACACGGAGAACAGCGGGATCGTCAAGTTTGATCCGGTCGGCTGGCACATGGATGGTTTCACCCTCCTTATCCCACGGAAAAACTGCTTCACTGTGATGATCTTGCAATATCCGCATCACAAGTTTGCTACACATGACACAGAAAATCCGCCATGCGCGCATTTCCCAAAGGGAAAAACACACGCTTGAAAATCCAATGTTCGATGCAGGTGTAGCAAGCCAAATAGTTAATGTGTTCTATTCTGTGCATCACAAGTTCACAGTGAAACAGTTTTTTCTCGCGATACTCCTCATGAGAGACTTTCTCCTCGTCCGTCATGACCATTAGCCTCGCGTCCGGCAGCTTTTCCGACGAGTAGAACTTTGGGTGTTCCGCTACTTCTCGCGAATTGTTGTCGATCGCGCTCCTGTATGCTGTGCAAAAGTATCGTACTAGTACAAATTGCATCACAAATTTCCTCAGCATGAGACATAAAAAAATTTGTAATGCTGTTTTACCTTAGGAAGAAGATTTGTCATGCATATTTGCAATTACTACGAGTACGATACTTTTGCAAAGGATAACCTGTCCACGTGGTCCACAGCAAAAAGCGTGTCCACGTGGTCCACAGCAAAAAGGTAAGACAGATCGCGAATCGCGCTCACGTATCAAATGCAAATATGTCTGGGTCTGGAAACCTGTAATGCTGAATGGCCACGAGTAACTGCGCCTGTAAGAGCAGTGTAGCATGACAAATTGTTCCGACGCTTTCTCATGCTTAGTGCGCATTACAAACTGCGCTATTGTATGACGAAATTGCGGCGCTTTTATTGCTTTTATGCAAGACAGATTTTTCTGGAATCCTGGACACGCAATACAAGTTCCGCTTTTCGTCCAGAGCCAGACCCAGACATATTTGCAATGCATATCACGTCCCACTCCCGCGGCGGCCCGTAGTAGGCCCGCGCCTGGTTCCGGGCTTTTTCGAATCGCAGAGCAAACGAATGAGCTTTGTCGACATCCGCCCAACGTGAAAAGTCGGGAAAGAACGGCCCCCCGGAATCTTCCTGGAGAAATTTTGCGTGGTGCTCCGGTCGCACCCAGAGTAAGTATGATTTGCAAAAACGCCCCCACGACCCTAGAGCTGTCATGCAAATCTGCATGCGAAAAAAGTTTCTCATGCGGAGCCGTATGAGAAGCGTTTTCTAGTCGTCTTCTGGGGTTTGTGATGCTATAATGAGCATTATATGCTAGATCTGTGTTGATGCTGCTGACCTACCTAGAACAGGACTGCACTACGAGGGCAAGCCTGTCATGCGAAACAACCAAAGCTGGTTGGTTTGTCTAGCAGATTTCTCATCTTGACACTGGTCGCGTGGGGACGTTTTTACATAGGATAGTAAGATGGCTTTCTTCAGTTCCCGCCGGGTTTCGAACTTGTAATACTGCTTGTGCTATCTCTATCAAATGCAAAAGGGTCTGGGTCTGGAAGATTCTGAAACTTGTCATGCGCGTTTGCATGGGCCACGATGAATGTCTGTGATGCATGCCCTAGCATCACAGACTTGTTGAGGGCTTCGTGATACCTATTCCACATGACAGACGCCCTCTCCGCGTAGCCAAAATTGCATTCCCTTCGCTGGTCATGCAATACAGATTTTTTTAGAATCCAAATGCAGCATCAAAAGTCGCGCATTCTTCCAGACCCAGACACTTTTGCATTTGATATGTGCCTCCCCGCGTTCTGAAAGGCCCGACTGGCAGCGCGGAGTGCCGGAATAGGGCGAAGAAAGTGCTGCTGTTCGCGTGCTGGTCCCCCGCCGCCGGCGCAAGAGGTAGAGGACGCATCATCTTCTTCCGCGACGTAACGAGCGAACTCGTACCGGTCCGGAAGAGGACCTCGATAAGGTCCCTCCCCGGACAGTTCAGCGAGCTTGCGCCAAGAATGATACTTGCACATATCTCGGTCCCGCGTCTGGTTTATCTGGTTTCTTTTTTTTTCTATGTCTTCCTGGTCCGCTTTACCACGTGCTGTGGTCCCCAGGCCCCCGGCGACAATCATGTCGAGAGCGTGATCTAGAGCGGGGGAAGCGAGGTGGAGTTTACTATCTGTGGCGGCTTCATGATGTTGTCCCGCTTCATGATCTGCCGAAGATGAAGATTGTCCACCTGGTGCAACTACTACATCTTCTCCAGGCAGAGGAGGGGACGCCGGCTGCGCGGAAGAAGTGTAAAAGCCGGGCTCTGCTTGTTGCGCCACCAATTGGCGGCCTCCGTCAGCACTTCTTGTTCCCGAAGACGCTGAATTCCTGGTGGCATTTTTTGCAAGAAAGTTTGCTCGCGAAAAGTAGTCCCAGCAACAAGTACTAGAAGTCCCAGAAACAAGTTGCGCTCCACTCTGCGCAAGAAGTAGTCCCAGGAACGTGAGGCGGGACGTAATGGCCGGCGATGTTGAAGCTGCTCGATGCATGCTTTTTTGCATTTTGATCTGTTCCTCGCAATGATTATACACTTAGAAAAGAAGTGGACGTCGACGTAAAAAATTAGATATGAAAAAGCCTTAAAATCCTACATATGAAAATATCAAATCTCAGACGTATCTAGTATGTAATGAACGAGAAGATGAAAGCGCCACTTCTGCACACATCAAATTATGGCACTAATTGTTGGAGGCTTAGCTGGTTGCAAAAATAGTAGTTGCAGTTGCACCTTCTAGCAGCGAATGCCAAAAACTTCTATCTAAAACTACACCTCACTTATTTAGCCTTTAGTTTACTTGAATCCCTGTGCGTGGCGATAATCGACGTAGAAAGGTTCTGTTGGTGCATGTGGAAGTAGTACCTAGAACTTCTACTTCTACTACAAGAAATCCAAATCGCCGAGGAACTAGATAAATTTCTTCGAAAAATTGTTCTTGCACCTGGTACAGGCCGAAGGTGTTGGAGCTTCGAGATCCCTTCTAGGACTACATCATCAAGGATCATGCAGATCTGTCCAGGGGATAGTACTCGCGATCGGATGAAGAAGATGAAGATAGAGGTGACCACGATCACGATCTTGATGTTCTTGATTGTTCAGCATTATAAATCGTGTCTTTCGACGTCATGATGCCCCGTGAAGTAGACTTGTGTTTAGCATCTCAGAACTACTAAGTGGAACTTTCTAGGAATGAGGAAATTTTGAAAAAATTGCCCCCCCTTCGAATTCTCTTCCGAAAGCAGCAGCTCTTCGTAGCTGTGTTTGGCTGGCGTGGCGCGCCAGCATTTGTTTGCTGTATTCGAAAATGGAAGCGGGAAGCGACTGTGTCAGAGTTCGGACGCATTGCCGCGCAGTGAAATCACCAAAGCAGGCAGGCGGCTTTTCGGGTGCCACTCACCTCGATCGCCAACTAGCCATCGCCGGAGGCTCAGCACACACCTACAAAGCCGCGCTTCATCTGAATAACGGCCGCGATCTCTACATGTGCATCGCAGTGAGAGCACCGCGCTAAGGTGGCAGGTCTTTGAGGTCTCTGGGCCTACTCTACCGAACAGCAGCTCGCCGGCAATCGCCTAGTGGGGCTTCCAACCCAAGGCGGCAGCCCTGGAAGGGGCCAATGGGGTCGGGCGCGTGGCCTGGCCGGCTCGAGGAGTTGCAGAAACATTTGAAAAGAATGGCGGAGGACTACCGCGGCGCCCTCAAGTGCCTCGGCCGGGTTTTGGCGGGGTGCCCCAACAAAGGTCGCGCCCGAGGGCTCAGCCCCGCTCTGCTTTTCTTGGTGTTTCTTGTATGCTTCAAATAGAGATCTGCGCTTTCCGCTCGTGATTCAATTTCCGAGGAAAATGGCGAAGGGGGGGGTCGCGGGGGGGCCGGAGGGGGCCTCGAGAGGGCCCCCACTGAAGGGGGCAAAAATCGCCCCCGTGCCGTCGTGATTCAATTTCCGAGGAAAATGGCGAAGAGGGGGGGGGAAGGCAAGGGGGAGGGGCCGGGGGGCCCTGAGTTTTCCTCGGAAATTGAATCGCGACGGTATGGCACCGCTTTTTGCCTTGTTTCGAGGCGAATCTGGGAATTGGCCTGCTTTGCCGGCCTTCCCGGGCTCCCTTTTTTGGGTAGCGAGCGCGGCAACAAAACACGCCCAAAGCGAGGCCAAAACCATCACCATAGCACCGCGATTCAATTTCCGAGGAAAATTTCGAGTCCGGTGCGAAATGCCCTCAAGTTGGGAGCGGTAGGACCAAAGCCGCGGCAGGTTGGTTCACGGTGGGAAGCTGTCGACGGCGTGGGATATTTAGCGCGGTTCGGTAAGGGGGTATACCTGCCCCGGTTTAGCCGTTTTATTTGTAGCGCATGGCGTCCATGAGTAGGAAGGCCCATGGCGCTTGAGGTTTTGGCTCAATGGCTTTGAGAATGATGCGGGTGTGTGGAGGCGCCACCATTCGGAGAGCAAGGCGCTGTCTTTTAGGTGCAGCCGCGATAAAGCCCATTATATGTGAGCCACGGATGGCTCTCCAGGCTCGGCGACCACAGTTGTCCACGGGGCTCTGCGAGCTCGTCTCGCGCAGCGGTATTCGCAAATGGGCCGGCACAGGGCCGCGACCTGATATCTCCACCTGCCTACTTTCACCTGGGGACTGAATTTTTTCGAATTTTCCTCATTCCTAGAAACTTCCACTTAGTAAGAACTTTATTCGTCCTAGTAAGCCAGATCTATTTAGTACGACTGGTCGTGGTCTCCGTTCTTGTGAGACGCCGAGTCAGAGGCAGAGCGGCACAAGGAAATAACATCGTCCTCGTGAACCTCTTGTCTGGTTCTGGATCATCTGAGCCCGAGTTGTTGCAAGATGCTCAGTGAGGTAGATCATGACAACGAGGACTACACACCGACTTGTTGTGTACGTCTATGTGTTCTGCCGTTCGTCCGCTTCCCTTTCTGATGGTGGAACAACTGGAATGACACGTCCTGTCCGTGGTGTCTATGAGTTCTAAATATCCACCTCATATCGGTCCCGCACGGCCTCGATCCAGTCGTGTACGAGCATCTCGCGGACCATGTAAACGCCCTGCGTTTGCAGCAACCCCACCAGCCGCTTGTGCATTTTCACGAACATGCCGGGGGGAAAGTACCCCTTCCACTCCTGAATCGATCCCTCATCCACGAAGCAGGTGACCTGTGGGCCGTTCGACTTCTTCAAGTTTTTCTCCGCAAGCACGTTCTATCCTGTGCAAAAGTATCGTGCTCGTATTGCAATCATGCACTACGAATCTTGTTCTTAAGGTTAAGCTAAATCCGCATTACAAATTTTATTTCTCATGCTGAGGAAATTTGTATTGCACGACTACGATACTTTTGCAGTTCATACGTTCCTGTCCACTACGATACTCCTCTTGCGCTCTTCATCTTCTTTCTGCTCGTCGGGAGAAGACTTTGATTTAGATTTGCTCTCGTTCATCAGAAGCTTCATTTTCTCCTCTGCGACTAACTCCTCCATTCTTTTCATCTCGTAATCCCCATCCACAGAAAAAACCCATCCACGTCCAATTTGTCATGCCAAACACGTATCAAATCACGTGTTTGCCATGCAAAAAATGGATGTGGATGGATTTTTTTCCGTGGATAATCCCCATCGTAGTAATACTCCGAGCAAAAATCCACAACGCTGAAACTGCCCGCAACGTCGATAAAGCCACCGTAACAGGGACACGAGATCTTGTACCCTATCGACATCATCCACTCAAACGCAAGGCGGGACTTCTGTCGTGTTGAACAAGTTGATGATGATGTAGAAGAGGTTGTGCTTTGATCTTGCTTCAGTGACTTCTGTTGTAGTTCCGGCGGCGTATGCAGCATCACCTCCCCCCGTACGTCCGCTTCCAGAAAGTCCAGCCAACATGCCGTTTCGAGTTCTTGATTTTCTTGGCAATAATTTCTACTATCACTTTTATCCTGTGTGGAGGGTGCTGCTCCACCACCGCATCCGCTCAGTTGCATTTGCTCCCTCTCCTCTTCCGTGAGCTTCATCCACAAACAGGCACGCGTCGGCCAAGTTTCGTCGATTATAGTACCGGGTGGACGTATGTTGTTCCTGTATCTACTCGTGTCGTCGTTCTCGTCCTCCAAGGAGGTTGCCGTTGAGACACTGCTCTTGTCGTTCACCTTCAGTTCGTGCCGTCGGTCCGGGGGAAGCTGCTTGTAGAAGTCGCGACTGTAATATGCACAGCATATTGAAGTAGATTCCCATACGTTCACCTGCACATCAGATGCGATTTCTGCATGACAAATCTTCTTTCGGTCAATCTGATTTGATATCACAAGTGGCATGCAGCTCAAAGTTAGCAAAATTTGTCATGCGCTTCGTACTTCTTAATCTTATGCGGCTATAAAAACGGGAAATCGTGAAATTTGTATTGCATACGAAGCGAGCCAAAACCCACTCCTCGCTCCATGCGGATATGTTCTTCTCGGTCCAGTGCTGTTTCGACATGGTTTTGATACTGTCTTCTGATACATATACTGTATTTTTAATGCTCTTCTGGCTTCACGACCCCGTTCTTTGTTCCTTGTGCAGCTGCAGAGCCGCCGCGTAAGCATGAACTCTAAAAACTCACTGCAGCTCTTGATTTGTAGTCTGAAAGACCTTCTACAGCTGCACCACTTGCTGGTGGTTCGACAGTTAGACCAGAAAATCGGTCGAAGTACATGTTTTTTTGCGCATCCCCGTGCAATGGGGGTCGCGGGCGGAGAGAAGTTGGGGGGTGCGAAGGCGCGACTGCGTTCCGGGCTGCTTTACCCCGGAAAAATTAGCCTCCGGCGCTGCGGCGGGGCGGCCGGGGCCGGGAAGGGTCGGCCTGACATAGATAGGAAGGCGACGGCACGCAGCCAACACTTCGCCACCCGCCCCCGCGCGAGGCTCACGTCGGGGATGCACAGCCGACTCGGCGTGCATCCCGGGGCCCCAACTCGAAGCCCACCCGGGGCCGGAAAAGCTTTTGCTCTGGCTGCGTCCGGGCGCGCCCTCCCCCATCTGGGGCCCCGGCCGGCGGGTGGACTGCGTGCCCCTGGAAAGGCGCGCACGCCCCCCCCTTCCGGGGGGGGGGGGAAAGGGGGGC